ATCAAACTACACCAGATGACACTTGAAATTACAAGAGGAAGTATACGAGACTTCCTGGGGAAGCTGTACTACATAATTTAGCTTCTCAACTCTGTTGATGTAACCTGTTAATATCTGAGAGCTGATATTCCCCCCAGCATTAAGGGTGGCTGTCTGGTGGCAGGAATGTATGTTATGGTCTGGCAAAGCCACCTCATAATTTTTGCTTTTCTTATTTTCTTATTAGGGTGGCTGTGGCTCAGGAGGTAGAGTGGGTTGGCCGTTAATCGGAAGGTCGGCGGTTCAATCCCGGCTCCCCCGGGCTGCATGTCAAAGTGTCCTTGGGCAAGATACTGAACCCTGAATTGCCCCTGTTGTTGCCCCTGGCGGCTGTTAGTTTCTGTTTGAGTGAGTGAATGCAGATATAGTGTAAAAGCACTTTGAGTGGTCGAAAAGACTAGAAATGTGCTATAAAAATATGGAGCATTTACAGTGGGGGAAATAAGTATTTGACCCCTTGCTGATTTTGCAGGTTTGCCCACTTACAAAGAATGCAACAATCTACAATTTTAATCATATGTACATTCTAACAGTGAAAGACAGAATCCCAAAGAAAATTCCAGAAAATCACATCATATGAATTTATAAAAATTGATAACCATCTGATGAGGAAAAACAAGTATATGACCCCCTACCAAACAGCAAGTATTCTGGCTCCTACAAGCCAGTTAGTCTTTCTTTAAGACACAGCCCCAATCCCAACCAATTATCTACATCAAATACACTTGCCTCACCTTGTTACCTGTATAAAAGACACCTGTCAACACCCAAACAACCAGCATCCAACATCACCACCATGGGCAAGACCAAAGAGCTTTCTACGGACATCAGGGACAAGATTGTTGATCTGCACAAGGCTGGGATGGGCTACAAGAGAATCGGAACGCAACTTGGAGGTAAAGATCAACTGTCGGTGCAGTTATCAGGAAATGGAAGAAGCACCACACCACCCAACCTCCCTTGGTCTGGGCCTCCACACAAGATCTCGCCTCGTGGGGTGTCCCTGATCATGCGAACGGTGAGGAATCATCCCAAAACCACAAGGGGGGAACTGATGAATCAACTGAAGGCAGCTGGGACCACAGTTACAAAAGAAACGGTTGGTAACACACTACGCCGTCATGGATTGAAATCCTGCAGCGCACGCAAGGTCCCCCTGCTCAAGAAGAAACATGTACAGGCCCGCATGAAGTTCGCCATTCACCACCTGGACGACTCAGAAGAGGCCTGGAAGAAGGTGATGTGGTCAGATGAGACCAAAATAGAACTTTCTGGCCTCAACTCAACTCGTCGTGTTTGGAGGGCAAAGAACACAGAGTACAACCCAAAGAACACCATCCCCACCGTCAAGCATGGTGGTGGCAACATCATGCTTTGGGGGTGCTTTTCAGCCAAGGGGACGGGACAACTCCATCGTATTGAGGGGAGGATGGACGGGGCCATGTATCGTGGAATTCTGGACCAACATCTCCTTCCCTCAGTGAGAGAGCTGAAGATGGGTCGAGGATGGGTGTTTCAGCACGACAACAACCCTAAGCACACCGCCAAAGCAACAAAAGAGTGGCTGAAGAAGAAGCACATCAAGGTTCTGGAGTGGCCTAGCCAGTCTCCAGACCTGAATCCAATTGAAAATCTTTGGAGGGAGCTTAAAATTCGAGTTGCCAGGCGACAACCTCGGAACCTGAATGATTTGGAGGCTGTCTGCAGGGAGGAGTGGGCCAACATCCCTGCCGAAATGTGCACAAACCTTGTCACCAACTATAAAAACCGTTTGACATCTGTGCTGGCCAATAATGGCTTTTCTACAAAATATTAACATGCTGTTTGTCCAGGGGGTCAAATACTTGTTTTTCCTCATCAGATGGTTATCAATTTTTATAAATTCATATGATGTGATTTTCTGGAATTTTCTTTGGGATTCTGTCTTTCACTGTTAGAATGTACATATGATTAAAATTGTAGATTGTTGCATTCTTTGTAAGTGGGCAAACCTGCAAAATCAGCAAGGGGTCAAATACTTATTCATTACAATATGGCCTGTACAATAGCTGATTGACCCATCACCCAGAAAGAAATATGAACCCTTCCTACACCTTCCTAAACTTTCTGCGTTGTCATGGGGTTTCCTTCCATGTTTCAAGGATTTAATTGCTATTCTTTTCTCCTTTAGAGGCGTTTCTGGAGCATTTTTACCACCATCCACAATTTGCTGTTATTTTTTTCCAGCTGTGAGTAGCTCCTTCATTTCGTTATAATATTCGAAAACATATTGTTTTCATCATCGATTCATCTTTTAATTATTTTCTCAATTGATAATTTTGTCATTAAAATGTCAGAAAAAAAGTGAAAGACTCCAGTTTATTTTCCTAAAGTAGGTCTCTATGAATTCCGTTTTCTTTTTTCCCAAATTCTGTGTAACAGCCAGAATTCATAGAACCGTAGTTACATACGTAACTCAGTTTAAGCACAATTTTTCAGCACAAATAATGTATAATCATGTGGCAGATGAATACAATTTGAACAATTCAACCAGAAGATGATGGCATGTGTGGTACTGAGCCCCGTCCTCAGTGAAACAGAAAGCAGAGGACATCCAACGAAGGTTAAAGTCAAGGGCAACTGGACTTGGTTGAAGATACTGGAAGACGTTTCGTCCCTCATCCAAAGGACTTCTTCAGTTCTGACTGACTGGCAGGGAAACTCAGCTATTTAACCTCAGTGGGGTCGTTTGCCGGGATTGTAGATACTGCTGGTTCGTTAGTGTTCCTGGTTGCTGTACCGACAGTCATTATAGTCGTTAGGACTACCCGAGGCCAAGACTGAACGACCATTGTTGGCATCTTCACCTGAGGCCAATAGGTTATGTTTGTTGAATTTCCTGGGAAGTGATGAAAGGACAGCATTGTAAGTGGGGGATAAGTAGTGGCGTAGACCCCCTCCCCTGTTCTTCCTTGACACCTCTTTCAAGCCATCCATCTTCTCTGTCTAAAATGTGCACCTGGTGGTCCTCAAACGAGTGTCCTCTGTCCTTCAGATGAAAGTAGACTGCAGAGTCTTGACCTGAGGAGTTGGCCCTTCTGTGTTGAGCCATGCGTTTGTGTAGTGGTTGTTTAGTCTCCCCAATATACAGGTCTGCGTATTCCTCAGTGCATTGGACCGCATACACTAGATTGCTTTTCTTGTGTTTGGGTGTGCGGCCGTTGGGGTGTACCAGTATCTGTCTTAGTGTGTTCTTGGGTTTGGGTCGTTCAGTCTTAACGACTGTCATTACAGCAACCAGGAACACTAACGAACCAGCGGTATCGATGACCCGGGATAACGACCCCACTGAGGTTAAATAGCTGAGTTTCCCTGCCAGTCAGTCAGAACTGAAGAAGTCCTTTGGATGAGGGACGAAACGTCTTCCAGTATCTTCAACCAAGTCCAGTTGCCCTTGACTTTAACCTTCGTTGGATAACTATGACCTGGATGACTGAGAATCTTCATAGACAAAGCAGAGGACAGAAGCAACATCCATTAATGACACCAAAACATAGCAGTATAGTTTTTTTCTGTTCGTTTGGCTTAGGTACTGTGAAAAAAGACCGGATCTTTATAAAATGCATTGACCTTTTGGCAGATTACATGATGTTATGCATTTTACAGTTGATTCCATTCTTATGATAAAATTCCACGATTTTGTCCGTGTTTTCGGGTAAATCCTAGAGCCCATTGCCATGTCTGTTTTGTTTTGTCTGACCAACAGTCCAAAACCTAAAGATATCTAGTTTACTATATGAAAAAGAAAAGCATCTATCCTGACTTTTAAGAAGCTGGTATACATGTGTAATTTTTAAATATTCAATTTTAATTCAACAATAACCTAATAATCAAAATAGTTGTAGATTAATTTTCCGTTGATCAACTAGCCTTCATTAATCAAATAATCATTGCAGCTCTACATCAACGGCACACTGAAAAATCAAGCGTTTAGTAGACCCTTCAATTGTAAATTAATTCACTTCAGCAGAGTTCCAGTTGCTCTAGAGAAGATGGGAAGAGGGAGTTGAAATTTGTGATGTGGTAACCATCAACTGCAATGTCCTACATAAAGTCCATCCACAGTATTTAAACAAACACTATGAGGTATCTGCTATCTCTACCACTATGGAAATGTGTGTTACCGTGTGGCAGTGTGATGCTGGCCCCATCAAGGATGGCCTGAGCCAGCAGGTGGTCATTGCTCTCAAAGGCGCTGGCTGCAGCCCTCAGCGCATCCCAGATCTCCTTCCGGCCTTCGAATGCTGGCGCCGTATCCCAGAACTCATCTCTCTTGCTGCGCAGCTGGCCTTCAGTCATTGGGTAGTCACTTTTCCATTTAGGCCGCTCTCTCTTCAGGGGCTGGTTACGCCCTAGAGCCACTGGTTGAGAGAGGATGAGAGAGGAAAGGAGAGATGGAGAGAAAAGACAGATAGAGGAAGGGAGGAGGGTGGGATGGGAGATGAAGGAGTGGAACCAGAAAGGAACGGTTGAAAAAAAAACAACACACAGAATGAGAGTGAGGGTGGGGTAAAAGGATGTGAGAAAAGAAAGAAAAAAGGGGATGGATAGAGGACCCAACAGAGAGGAGGCGGAGAAGAAGGGATAACCAAGATAAAGAAATAAGAAAAACAGGAACAAATGGGCATTTAGGGAAGAAAAAGTAGGCCGACGTTAAGTGGAAGAGTCAGGAGTGAGAGAAGGTGGGGGAATGCACAGAGGATAAAAATGAGAAGTAGGGATGTAGAGTGAAAGGAGAAAGGGATAATAATAAGAGTTAGGATTTATCTGAAACAAAGCATCAGTCTTTTAAGATTACTCAAGATCACCACTAAACTCAGATGACAGATTAAACATGGGCCTACACTATCACATGATATTTACCCACACGCAGACTAAGCAGAAGTGAAGCTAGAAGTATTGTGTTACTAAACCCAGTTAAACGGTTACGGTTATAGCATCTAACATTGCTCCACCTGCAGCAGAATGGCTGCTGAATAACATCATCTGGATCAACACCGAAGGGGACGACAGGTACAGCAGTCTGTGTTTATATGTGTGTATGTGTGTGTGTGTGTGTGTGTGTGTGTGTGTGTGTGTGTGCGCGCAACACAGAGACAGAGGAGAGGAGAGAGGAGGATGGTGGATCAAGGTGTTGAGTTACACCTGTTGCTGGTACACATGTACTCTGATGATCACATGGCATAGTCCGATAACACTAACCCTTCAACTGACTGTTTGTAGTAAATAACACCTCTAACTGACAGACTGTTTACAGTTACTTTGTCTTTTTCTCCTATTTGGTTGTTTATTATGCCACAGTGTACTGTTAAAAAGAGCGTTCTCTTTTAAAAAGTGGCTCATCAAGCCACCTGATTATGTTACTTAATCCAGAGCCGGAGGGTAAACAAGGTCTTTGGTTGACAAAATAAGAAAGCATGAAACTTTAGTGGTTCCTGTGGGGAAAATTTAGATGTTGTAACTCAAACAGATAATAACACATGTTAATGAATGGGTTTGGAATTACATGGTTATGTAAAACATCAGCAGCAGCTCATAGTACAAAAGGTACAAAGTAGTTTATTTATCATTTAATATAAGGTTGTATAACAGATATTTAAATACTGACTCAAACAAAAACAGAATATTTACATTAAAAATATATAAATTTGAGCATTTTGAAATACAGAATGCAGTTCAGTAATAGTAATCTGTGAGACACACTCCTAGTTACTCCAGAGGCGTGCAAACTCTGACATATATAGCTAGTATGTTGCTTTGGATAAAAGTGTCAGCTAAATGAATAAATGTAAATACCTGCCTGAATCCTTTGTTCTTGTGCGATATGGTCAACTTGACAGCTTGGCAGTGTGTTCGTACTTCTACATTAGCGTACTTTCCAGCTCATCAGTCTGCACATAATTTGCTAATTTACCTCTGAACACTAGTCTACTTGCTTGTCTTTCAGTCCTTTCCAGAAATCCTTCCGGATGTATGTAGGCCATTTTGTGTAAGACGCTTGACTTAGTTACCTTGATCTAACATCTGCTTTGTTGAAAACAGATATATATGTTTTCGGGTCTAACTGCTTTGCTTCTGTCATTATTCAGCTGTTTATCTGCATCTGTTTTAACACCATGTGGCTTCATGATACCAAACAAACTTTAGATAAAGATAAAAATCTCTGAAACCTATTACTTCTAGAAAGGTAGGTAGACTGGGAGCAAATTAAGGAAACCAGGCTATATCAGCATCTCTAAGTGCACAGTCCCATTCCCCAGAGCCCAGCTCTATCTGCCAATCAGCGATTAAAATAACTCACTGGTCAGTAGTGGCACCCCTCCTCAGACCAGACAACCAAGAAACTATAAAGTTGTCTACAGCACCTCAGTCTGATAAAGACCTAATATCATGGCCCTCTCTCTTTTCATCATGCACACACAGTCAGAAAACCTCCTCTGTAAACTAACTAATGAAGGTGCACAGCTCACACCCCCCAAAATTCATGCAACACTTCTTTATTGTTTTAACCATCATGCAAGTCGCAAAAGGTGTAGCATCACCAGAAAATAAGTTTTATCATATTCTAATCCACAAAGGCACACTTAAAAATGACACTGCTTTGTTATCTTGCCCCATAACTTCAGGCATTACATGCATTTCTGTCTATTGCTCAAAAAATATAATAAACCGAATCTGTTGCAGTCTTCTCTGTTCTGCTCACAGCAGACCGCTTGGTTGGTGCTTAACTGCTCTCAGGCCTTGCTCACCAAATAACGCAGTCTACAGTTCCCCTGTTAAACACACACACACACACACACACACACACACACACACACACACACACACTTCCTTTATTATAAAAGGTGAAGCACCCTTCAACCAGTTGAGACACCTCCTCTTCTTTCAGGCAGTAATGCCCTAACACCTTGCTTGTACAAAAACAGTAAATAAAAACAAATAATAAGTGCAGGTTGCATGAAGCTAACAGTAACTTAAGTACCCAGGGAGTCAAGGTATAATTGAAATCAGGCTGTATCACTCCAGTGCGTTTCCTTGCATGCCACTGCCGTATGTGACCCATATTTGTTATGCAGAAAAGCTAGCAAGCTAACTAGGCTACGTTTTTTAGCCGGCTAGCGCAGTCAACACCAAAGAACAAAGGGAGGCAGCGTCGCACAGTAATTATTCTCAGTTTGTAAAGAACGGTTTGCGACGAGCCGTCATTTCTCGCTTCAGTACCCGCTGCGTGGAGCGAGATACCCAGCAGGGCTGCTGTGTCTGTCTTCGGCTCTGTCTGGCTCGGATATAAAGGAAGGGAAGGAGACCTCCAGCCAGGATAACATGCAAAAAAAGCGTAGAGGAAGCCCCCCCCCCCATAAAAACAAGCCAGGCTTGTGGGCACTAAAATAACGTTACATCAATAAGCCTTGTAAGTTACCTCCAGTGCCGTCAGAGTTCTCGTTTAAGCTGCCCGAGGAGTCGTGGTGGCTCCCGACACAGCCACCCATGGATGTTTCGGCAGAGCAGCCCGGGCTAGGTAGCTCTCCCCCCGGCCCACAGCTAGAGCTACATCCACTCACCCCCTCTCCCGTCTTTCGCTCTTCCCCCCTCCACTTCCCTTCTTCCCTTCCTTCCTTTCCTCTCGCCTCGTTTCCTCCCGTTCTGCCTTTACTCCGTCCTTCCCCTCCCTCCCCTCTGCCTCTCAGCATCGACGGGGCGCAGACTCGGGCGTCATCTTCTCTAGTGAGGGCGGAGAGAGAAAGACAGAGCGGCTCTCATCGTTACAAGGTGACCGACAGAGGAATGAAGGAGAGGAAGAGAACAAAGGAGAACACTGAAAAAAAAGATGCCGTCTTCTTTGGGGCAGCATATGTTTGTTTTTTTATGTTTATGATAATGTATTCAGACATATGTATGTTTGTCGTTTTGTTGCTGTCCTGGAGTAGACACATCAAATTGCTTATCCTTGTAGCCTATTATTGAATTTCAAGGAAGCATTCCTGCTGTTAGCCTGCTGTTGGCCTCAGTGATTGATTCATGTTATTCATGTTAAACAGTGGGCTTGGTCATCTATTCTATTCTGTTCTATTATTCTTTCTTGCATTGTAAGGCAGTTTTTAGGTTTCAAAACACACTTTTAATTTGTTGCTCATGTAGAGTGAAAAGGTGTTGTTGTTCTAGGCTATTCTGTCACGCTTAGTCTGTTTTCAGTGGCTGATCCACACAAACACACAATTTAGATTTGTTTATTTCAGATAAAATCAGATTTAACAATTAGTGAAAATGTGGTGCTACTTTTTTCTATTGTCTTCCACTCTTCTTCTTGCAGAGGTTATTAAAAGTTTTCTTTTAATATACTATTAATAGTTTATAGGTTTTAACACACACACATTTGTTTCATAGGCTGATCAGATTTTACAACCCGGAGTGAAATGAAGTTCTTGTTCTATCGTATTTTACTTTCTACTTTTCTCTTCTCTTGTACTCACTCAATTTCTGCGTCCGAGAGCTGCAATGTAATACCACATGAACACACCCCTGCCTGGTCACTATCTTTAGGACTGTCCTAAAGATACTTGAGTGTAATTTGACACACTGACACTCTCAGTCACACACACACACACACACACACACACACACACACACACACACACACACACACACACACACACACACACAAACATACAATAGCAACAGGATAGCAAGGGTAATTTTACAACAAAGCTGTCTGGAATTACAAGTATTTCCTATTGCCAGGAACTGAAAGAAGTTGTGTGTGTTGTGTTTGTACAGGAGACAGCTTACTTGGAAACCCTTTTCTGATGGTCTGAATGACGTAATATGGTGTAACAGGTTACTGATAATACACTTGACATGTCGCTGCATACTTTGTGATCAAGGTCACAGCTGGAAATTTAGAAGTTTCTTCTGCACTGCCTTTGATGATGCAAAGGATTGAACATCACCTTTTATATCAGGATGTTTTGTTCTAGAGGTTGTAATATGTGTTGCCTGAGGAAAGTGAGTTTAGTTTAGTTGGGAATGTTGCTCTTTTAGGGACCAAGTAATGAGTTCATATATAGGCTTTTACACTTTACAGAATCTCAAATCTACATTTTTATGGACATGTCCAAAAAAGGTTCATATTTTAAATGTGTAAAAACTGCTGGGTTTTATGATTCCAATTAAATCCTGGACTTAGGGCTGTTTGTTCACTGCAGCATCATTAGACGCCTCAGTAAACTGTGGAATATAACCCGCAAGAACAGGCTGTTGACTAAACAGACATAGAAAGGGTGATAAATTAATTTTCTGAGAACTGTAGTGACCTCTAGTGACTTTGTTGTATCCTGCAGGAGAATTATGTCCATAACACACAAGTAAAGCATTTTGTCAGCGGAAACACTTGATGACAGTTAAAATACAATCACGTCAGATCAATCGGTATGCATACGTCCAAGTAAAGAGGATCCCTAACTAAGCAAATAAAAGGTGTGCACTTTCAGATTGCATGGACACTTGCAGATTTCCTTGACTGGTAGGATCAAGAATATGACCAATTTTGCTGCGTTTGTGTGTTTTTTGATGCAATTTTTAAAGTGTCATATCAGTCAGTTGTTGATTGATTGATATGTGCAGCAATACAAAAGAATAATGAAATAAAGTCTTCTGCTTATACATGGTTCAGTCAGTAGATAGAGCTGGAGAGTCTGAGCTGCAGACTGAGTTATGCTGTCCAATATACTGTGTGTGTGTGTGTGTGTGTGTGTGTGTGTGTGTGTGTGTGTGTGTTTGAGCATGTATTACTTTACACAATCACATTGTAGGGACTCACCTTCCTTTTGGAGACTAAAAGGTCAGAAGCATCCGTGTTCTGAACATTTAGTGTAATTAAAGACTGTAAAACATTACACCTGTTATAGCGCTATAGTGCACATTATGGCATCCTGACAGCACATAATTGTTAGTCATCATGTCTGATGTTGACAATATACGACAACATTTCTGTTGATATATTTGGTAACACTACC